TAGGGCCTCCCATTGCTGCTGCCTGGTTGCCTGGCCCCTAATCTGCCATGGGTCCCTGTATACGAGCCTCCTCACTGCCTTGCTGCCAGGTCCTGAGTCTCTCATGGGTCCCTGAACTCGGCCTCCCATTGCTGCTGTCTCATCGCCACCTCTGCCATGTGCCCACTTTCAGGTCCCTCACACTGCTGGGTGTGTTTCCATTTTTTGTCATATGCTGCTGCCAGGTCCACAGTGTCTCATGCCATGTGCCACTTTCAGGTCTCCTCACACTGCTGGTGTGTTCCATTTTTTTGTCATAGGGTGCTGGCAGATTACGGGCCTCCCATAGCTGCTGCTGCCAGGCCCCTAATCTGCCATGGGCCCCTATACCGCCTCCTCATGCTGCTGCCAGGTCCAGAGTCTCTCATGGGTCCCTGTACGGCCCTCCCATTGCTGCTGTCTCCATCGCCACACTCTGCCATGTGCCACTTTCAGGTCTCCTCACACTGCTGGTGTGTTCCATTTTTTGTCATAGGGTGCTGGCAGATTACGGGCCTCCCATAGCTGCTGCCAGGCCCCTAATCTGCCATGGGCCCCTATACCGCCTCCTCATGCTGCTGCCAGGTCCAGAGTCTCTCATGGGTCCCTGTACGGCCTCCCATTGCTGCTGTCTCCATCGCCACACTCTGCCATGTGCCACTTTCAGGTCTCCTCACACTGCTGGTGTGTTCCATTTTTTGTCATAGGGTGCTGGCAGATTACGGGCCTCCCATAGCTGCTGCCAGGCCCTAATCTGCCATGGGCCCCTGTACCGCCTCCTCATGCTGCTGCCAGGTCCACAGTGTCTCATGCCATGTGCCACTTTCAGGTCTCCTCACACACTGCTGGTGTGTTCCATTTTTTGTCATAGGGTGCTGGCAGATTACGGGCCTCCCATAGCTGCTGCCAGGCCCCTAATCTGCCATGGGCCCCTATACCGCCTCCTCATGCTGCTGCCAGGTCCAGAGTCTCTCATGGGTCCCTGTACGGCCTCCCATTGCTGCTGTCTCCATCGCCACACTCTGCCATGTGCCACTTTCAGGTCTCCTCACACTGCTGGTGTGTTCCATTTTTTTTGTCATAGGGTGCTGGCAGATTACGGGCCTCCCATAGCTGCTGCCAGGCCCCTAATCTGCCATGGGCCCCTGTACCGCCTCCTCATGCTGCTGCCAGGTCCACAGTGTCTCATGCCATGTGCCACTTTCAGGTCTCCTCACACTGCTGGTGTGTTCCATTTTTTGTCATAGGGTGCTGGCAGATTACGGGCCTCCCATAGCTGCTGCCAGGCCCCTAATCTGCCATGGGCCCCTGTACCGCCTCCTCATGCTGCTCATGCTGCTGCCAGGTCCACAGTGTCTCATGCCATGTGCCACTTTCAGGTCTCCTCACACTGCTGGTGTGTTCCATTTTTTGTCATAGGGTGCTGGCAGATTACGGGCCTCCCATAGCTGCTGCCAGGCCCCTAATCTGCCATGGGCCCCTATACCACCTCCTCATGCTGCTGCCAGGTCCAGAGTCTCTCATGGGTCCCTGTACGGCCTCCCATTGCTGCTGTCTCCACGCCACACTCTGCCATGTGCCACTTTCAGGTCTCCTCACACTGCTGGTGTGTTACATTTTTTGTCATAGGGTGCTGGCAGATTACGGGCCTCCCATAGCTGCTGCCAGGCCCCTAATCTGCCATGGGCCCCTGTACCGCCTCCTCATGCTGCTGCCAGGTCCAGAGTCTCTCATGGGTCCCTGTACGGCCTCCCATTGCTGCTGTCTCCATCACCACACTCTGCCATGTGCCACTTTCAGATCTCCTCACACTGCTGGTGTGTTACATTTTTTGTCATAGGGTGCTGGCAGATTACGGGCCTCCCATTGCTGCTGCCAGGCCCGTAATCTGCCATGGGCCCCCGTACCGACTCCTCATGCTGTGACGTTGCAACAAGGTGGAATTCAACCCTACATATGTTAGACCGCCTTTACGAACAGCGAAAGGCCATCACAGATTTCCTGATGTTACAAGCGGATAAAGGTACTCCCTGTGTAACTTAGATGTCAGCCATTCAGCTCATGCGTGACACCTGCGCTTGCTCAGGCCCTTTGAGGAGGCCACGCTATTCGTGAGTCGGCAGGACTATGGGATGAACGACGTCATTCCTCTGTTGCACGTCCTGGAACAAATGCTGTTAACAATGGCTGGTCAGGGTGCGGTAGACGTGGCGCACAGATCTCAACGCCACATGACCCCTGTGGGGGCAGGACAGGAAGAAGAGGAGGAGGTAGAGGAGGAGGACATTGGTGCTCAGGAATTATTGAGTGAAATGGGTGGTTTTTTCCACACTCAGCGGACAGGAGTGGAGGAGCAGGAGCATCTGGTAGAGGAGGAGGAGGAGGAGACAGAGGACCCAGACGCACCGTGGCAGTATGCTGTGGAGATGGAGGCAGGGAGTCCCTCGCATTCCTTGGCACAAATGGCCCATAGCATGCTCGCTTGCTTGCGTAGCGACAGCCGAATAATAACCATCAGACAGAGGGATGACTTTTGGCTGTCCACCTTGTTGGACCCGCTACCGTTCAAAAATGGTGGCCTTTTTCACACCTGCTGAGAGGGAGGCCAAAATAACGTACTATAAAAACCACCTATGTAGTCAGCTGGTCTCTGCCTTTCTGCGCCAACGTCCATCCTCAGACACTGTGGGCCCTGTGCGCTCGCGTTCCGCTGCCATGGCAGCAGGGGAGGGGTGGGGTGGTAGGAGCAGCAGGCAGCTCCACCAGCAGCGGCTGCCTCAGTCTGCAGTCGATGATGAGTAGCTTTCTTCACCAGCGCAGTGAGGAAACTACTAACCAGCCGCAGCAGCAGCAGCAGCAGCAGCATCAGGTGGACCTGGAGCAGGACCTCAAACAACAGGCTTAGGCCTACTTGGACAGCACCCTGCCAACCGAGGTAGACAATCCCCTTGACTACTGGGCAACGAAACTTGACCTTTGGCCCCAACTAGCTGAATTTGCCCTTGAAAGGCTGTCATGCCCGGCCAGTAGCGTGGCATCGGAGCGTGTTTAGTAGTGCGGCAGGAGGTATTGTAACTCCGCGGAGGACACGACTGTCCACCCAAAGTGTGGAGAGACTCACGTTTGTGAAAATGAATCAGGCGTGGATTAGTCTGGATTTCAAACCACCAGTTCCTGACACAACTGACTAAATCCGCCATGAATCATGCCCCAAACATGTGCCACTTTCAGGTCTCCTCACACTGCTGGTGTGTTCCATTTTTTGTCATAGGGTGCTGGCAGATTACGGGCCTCCCATAGCTGCTGCCAGGCCCCTAATCTGCCATGGGCCCCTGTACCGCCTCCTCATGCTGCTGCCAGGTCCAGAGTGTGCATGGGTCCCTGTACGGCCTCCCATTGCTGCTGTCTCCATCGCCACACTCTGCCATGTGCCACTTTCAGGTCTCCTCACACACTGCTGGTGTGTTCCATTTTTTGTCATAGGGTGCTGGCAGATTACGGGCCTCCCATAGCTGCTGCCAGGCCCCTAATCTGCCATGGGCCCCTATACCGCCTCCTCATGCTGCTGCCAGGTCCAGAGTCTCTCATGGGTCCCTGTACGGCCTCCCATTGCTGCTGTCTCCATCGCCACACTCTGCCATGTGCCACTTTCAGGTCTCCTCACACTGCTGGTGTGTTTCCATTTTTTGTCATAGGGTGCTGGCAGATTACGGGGCCCAGTACCATGGGCTGGCCAGCCCGTGCTCCCAGCAATCAGCCATGGGCCAACCTTTCAGCCAGCTAACACCTGGAACTGATGCCATGGTGTATTTCATGGGTGGCCAGACCTACAGGCTCTCCCATGGTGCTGCTGTCCTGGGCCCTGTATCTGCCTGCATCCTGTGCCACTTTCAGGCTGACCCACACTGCTGGTGTGTTCCATTTTTGTCATAGGGTGCTGGCAGATTACGGCCGCTCCCATATGCTGCTGCCTGACCCTCTGCCATGGGCCACGCTGCTTGCTACCTGTGCTGATCCCTGGCTTGTGACCCTGACCATCTCTCTGCCTGACCCTCTGTACTACGCTGCTTGCTACCTGCTGAACCTGGCCTGTGACCCCGACCAATCTCCGCTTGCTCCCCTGTACCTACCTGCCCTATTGATTTGACCCGGGGCCTGCCTCCTGACACGCTGCTGGTGTGTTCTTTTTCTGTGGGTGCTGGCAGTTGGTACGGTTTGTTGCTGCCATGTTTTAGTAATCTGCCATGGGTATTGTACCGCCTCCTCATTATATTGCCATCACATATCTGAAGTCTGCCATGTGCCACTTTCAGGTCTCCTCACACTGCTGGTGTGTTCCATTTTTTGTCATAGGGTGCTGGCAGATTACGGGCCTCCCATTGCTGCTGCCAGGCCCCTAATCTGCCATGGGCCCCTGTACCGCCTCTTCATGCTGCTGCCAGGTCCAGAGTGTGTCATGGGTCCCTGTACGGCCTCCCATTGCTGCTGCCAGGAGGCAGCAGGGTCGCAGCAGTGTCAGTGGAGGCAAACGGCCACGGAGTAGAGCACCAGCTCCACTGCAGCCTACCACCACCACGGCCAGTAGTGGTGCCGGTGTGCACGGAGGAAGTAGCAGTCAGCCAGTGAGGAGTAGCGGGGGCAAAGTTTCCTACTCGGCGGTGTGGCAATTTTTCGTCAAGCCGCCCGAGGAAGTAAATGTAGTAGCCGTATGTCGACTATGTGGCCAGAAAGTCAAGCGTGGCCAGGGGGCCCATGTTGGGACTACAGCGTTGCGTCAGCATATGCAGCGTCGCCATTCGGTGGCCTGGGAAAACCGTGATAAAGATACGGCGGTTCTGCCTGCCCCAGCCCAGGGTTCCATTTTGTCATAGGGTGCTGGCAGATTACGGGCCTCCCATTGCTGCTGCCAGGCCTTAATCTGCCATGGGCCCCTGTACCGCCTCCTCATGCTGCTGCCAGGTCCACAGTGTCTCATGGGTCCCTGAACCGCCTCCCATTGCTGCTGTCTCCATCGCCACACTCTGCCATGTGCCACTTTCAGGTCTCCTCACACTGCTGGTGTGTTACATTTTTTGTCATAGGGTGCTGGCAGATTACGGGCCTCCCATTGCTGCTGCCAGGCCCGTAATCTGCCATGGGCCCCAGTACCGCCTCCTCATGCTGCTGCCAGGTCCACAGTCTCTCATGGGTCCCTGTACGGCCTCCCATTGCTGCTGTCTCCATCGCCACACTCTGCCATGTGCCACTTTCAGGTCTCCTCACACTGCTGGTGTGTTCCATTTTTTGTCATAGGGTGCTGGCAGATTACGGGCCTCCCATAGCTGCTGCCAGGCCCCTAATCTGCCATGGGCCCCTGTACCGCCTCCTCATGCTGCTGCCAGGTCCAGAGTCTCTCATGGGTCCCTGTACGGCCTCCCATTGCTGCTGTCTCCATCGCCACACTCTGCCATGTGCCACTTTCAGGTCTCCTCACACACTGCTGGTGTGTTCCATTTTTTGTCATAGGGTGCTGGCAGATTACGGGCCTCCCATTGCTGCTGCCAGGCCCGTAATCTGCCATGGGCCCCCGTACCGACTCCTCATGCTGCTGCCAGGCCCGTAATCTGTCATGGGCCCCTGTTGTCGCTTGTTGGCATATTCCGTTCGTTCAGATGCTCCTTCTCCTGCTACTCCTCTTCACGGATTCCGTCAGCAGTCTTTCTTGGAATCCGTTTCCAAGAGACAACAGTTTGCGAGCACGCACCCGACGGTGCAGAAGCTGAACGTCCTCCTGTCCAAGTTGCTGCTGCCAGGCTCGTAATCTGTCATGCGCCCCTGTACCGCCTCCTCATGCTGCTGCCAGGTCCAGAGTGTGTCATGGGCCCCCGTACCGACTCCTCATGCTGCTGCCAGGCCCGTAATCTGTCATGGGCCCCTGTACCGCCTCCTCATGCTGCTGCCAGGTCCAGAGTGTGTCATGGGTCCCTGTACGGCCTCCCATTGCTGCTGCCAGGCCCGTAATCTGCCATGGGCCCCCGTACCAACTCCTCATGCTGCTGCCAGGCCCGTAATCTGTCATGGGCCCCTGTACCGCCTCCTCATGCTGCTGCCAGGTCCAGAGTGTGTCATGGGTCCCTGTACGGCCTCCCATTGCTGCTGTCTCCATCGACACACTCTGCCATGTGCCACTTTCAGGTCTCCTCACACTGCTGGTGGTTTCCATTTTTGTCATAGGGTGCTGTATGGCCTCCCATTGCTGCTGCCTCCACCGCCACACTGTGGCTCCACACTCTGGTTTTGGCCCCGTGACTGCCCAAATGAGTGAAGTGTGCGGTGATTCTAAGATCGACGGCACTCATCTGCATGTCATACTGACTGTCAGTATTATTTCTCTTCCCCAGCAGACTCCAAGGGCATTTAAATTAAAGGTACAGTGTTCTGCACTAATAAAAAGGCTCTCTGAAGCCTAGAAACACCCTTTTATAAGTTAAATTTGCAGCGAATATATTCGACTCGAATCGAAATTTTTTCACGAATTCGCCGAATCAGTCGAATCGAATTTTTGAATTTTATGAAAGGTCATTCTTGCCAAACCAATCTTTTAACATTCTATGAGGAAGTAAGCTGCCATCTAGATAAAGAAAGACCTGTGGATGTGGTATACCTGGATTTTGCTAAAGCATTCAACACAGTTCCCCATAAACGCTTAATTTACAAACTGAGGCTTGTAGGCATGGACCATAGGGTTTGTTCATGGATAGAAAACTGATTACAAGGGCGCGTCCAAAGGATGCTGATAAATAGCATGGATTCAGACTGGTCTGGAGTGGTACATGGGGTACCTCATGGTTCTGTCCTGGGACCAATTCTATTTAATTCATTTATAAATGATATAGAGGTTGGTATAAATAACTCAATATCAGTTTTTGCTGATGATAAAAAGCTAAGTAGGGCAATAACTTCACAGAATATAGAAACATTACAAGACCTCAATGAAATAAAGGAGTAGGCAAATACATGGGTGAATGAGGTTTAATATTAAAAAATATAAAGTAATGCACTTGGGAATAAAATACTAACATAAGTTACTCGCTAGGGGAAGAACCTCTGGGGGAATCCAAAATGGAAAAAGATCCGGGGGTCTTAGTGGATGACAGACTCAGCAATGGTATGCAATGCCAAGCGGCAGTAAGCAAAGCTGTTAGAATTTCAGCATGCATAAAAAGGGAATTTACTCAAGAGATAAAACGATAACCCTACCACTTTACAAAACTCTGCCACATCTGGAGTATGCTATCCAGTTCTGGTCACCAGTCCTCAGAAAAGATGCGCTAGAACTGGAGAGAGTCCAGAGAAGGGCAACAAAGTTATTATGCTGCCTGAGGACCTCAGTTACGAGGAAAGACTATAAACATGAAACAATCTCCCTGGAGATATGATGTTGATATAAAAATACCTCAGTGGTGATTCTAGCATAAGTTATAAACTATTCTGTCTCAGGGAATAGAAGAAGACATGGGGGACAACTGCGTAGGGAGTTTTTCACTGTCAGGGCAGTAGTGTCAGCAGGAAGTATCGATAGTTTCAAAAGAAAAAAACTCGTAGATGGGCATCTTAGTGAATACAATATACAGGGATATGGGATATGAGTTTTTGATATGAGCACACACACAGGTTGAACTGGATAGACTGGTGTCTTTATTTAACCTTACTTATTATGTAACTATGTAAGAGTTTAGGATCTTCTATGAGAGTTTAGGAGAATTCAGTGTTTTACTGCCAGAAAACTACTCTCAAATATGCAAACCAGAAGGGTTTTTTTTTTTCTGCCTCTAAACATCCTAATGTGCATGGACATATAGGATAACAATGAGCTGCTTCTGCAGGCAAAGTGCAAAACCCCTGTACTAGCAGCAGTTTTTTAAGCCCAGTGTGCATGGACCCTTAATGGTAATAATATTAAACAAACAGACTTGTGCAAGACTCCTCAACTGTTGACAACCAATCACGTTTCAGTACACTTAAAGGGTAAGTTTACATTATCATTTAAAAATGAACAGGTGAAGTAACTTCATTTATTCTGACCAGCTATCTGCACATATCGGCCATAATGCCCCATGCTGCCAGAGTATCCATCCACACACTGGACATGGCATTACACAGCCTAGGAATACGTATCCATCATAATGCTAACAATGGCAAGCATTCATTGGTCAAATGGACCATGTGACTGCGTTGATCAATGAGAAGTGCTTCTTTCTTCTAGAACACCTTACTGAAAGAAGATGTCTTTAGATGTGCTTCTCATTGGTTGTGCTCAGATACAGTTTAGTTCTGCTTTAATTATGCATATACCTTTAAATTCATTCACAAACAATCCTTACAGCAATTTTATTTATGTTTCCATTGAATTGGCCATTTTTCCAGTCTTGAAAATCCTGTTCCGATTACTCTCATGGCAGCTATTTCATGGCATAAGGACGTCATTCAAAAGTCACAAAGTCCATATTTAATCAGAAAAATACATTAGCCATTATTATTTCCATGGATACAAAAAATTTGGAACAAAACTATGTACGCCATCCTAAGAAATAATCTGCAGAGACGCAATTAGAGGCTCTGAGAAGAGGCAAACAGATTTATAAAGAGAAACACTTTTCATACGCAAAAATGCAATGTCAGTTATAAAGAATACCAGTCCTATAAATCACTTTTAATAATGTTGTCGTCAATACATGGCTGAGGTTTTTGTATGTATTGACAAACCTTTCCATTTATCTACCCAAATCAGACTTCATAACAAAGTAATAGTGATAATAATAAAAAATAAAATTCTTCATCATTATTTTGTGATATTTTATATGACACAGTGATCACTTATAATGCATTACCTATTAACACTACACTAAAAGTATAATGTTTTTATTATTGATGTGGTATTATATTATATTAAATAAATAAATATGGTTTGTAGTTCACTTGTCAAAAAATAGCTTTCTTTCATAGTCATTGTGTAAAAAAAGCTTCATAGGTTTAATTTACAGAATTGTACTAATGTAAAGATGATTAATACCAAAAGTAATAATAATATTTTATGTTTGTTACATAATTAAAGATGACTCCATATATATTTTCAAATTCTATATCAGGCTACAAAATGTAGATATGAAGATTACCTCTCCATTTAATTAAGACTATGCTTATTATTCTCTTGAGTTAATTGTCTATTTGTTGCATAATACTGTAATCATCAAAAACAGCAATAATAACTATAATAATAAAAATAACAATTACTGAATATAGAAAAATATTAATACTTTTTTAATATCTTACTGAATAAGTATTTGTCGAAAGCAACCACAAAAGCCACATCAACAATACTAATATTGTCTAATAGTAATCAGTTGAGTGCAGATCTTTTTGCTGTTTCCCTGATACAAATCTCTAATGGTACTAACCAACGTGACTAAACACCCTCAGAACATTATTTAACATGTACTGTATGTCATATCCCATGCATATTTAGTGGACTCATTGTAAACATTTTTTTAAAAAATATAAAAACATGATTCTTGTGAGCTACTATGGTGTATTTTATAATTTCTAAGGTGAATAAATAAAAAACTTTTTTTACTAAATGATAAAAAATTAATGAATGAATGTAACTAAAATCAAAATACAAAAACATGTTATTTAAAGGGACAGAAACTGTTTTTGACCTCACTTAACGGTTTGGTCATAGAAATCAGGTGAGCGCACACTGGTGAAGGAGCACATGTGGAGAACGAACCACTGTGTGGTCTTTTTTATATAATTTTTTAATATAATTTTTATATCATTTTATATACCTAATATTTATACAATGTTATAATTTAATATTTCACGTATTTATACAATTTCATAATTTAATATTTCACAGATTGTGTAATGGAAATAAGCACGGATTTGAAGTAGGATCACTTACGAATGCTATATAAAAATTATATTGTTTGATATATAATTTTTAGAATTATATATGGCTTATATATATTTTAGGAGTATATTATAAAAATTTTTTAAATGTGAACTCCAGACACAAAATATTTAATTGAAATATATTTCACAATATCCACAAAGGATATAAACTCACTTTGGTGTCCGTTTATGACACACAGAATAGCTGAGATTCAGAGG